TGCAAGTTCTGCAATGCTTTCAGCTTTCAGTCGGCAAGTCTATTTCATATGCTAAAGTAAAATGAGACAAAAAAAGACGGACAACTGGAAAAGACAGCCGCTAACCAGTGCTCATGAAATAAGGAATTCGAAAACGACCACTGAGCACACGGTCACGTAATGCCTGCAAGCTCGATCCTTCAAACGGTAAGACGCCGCAGGTTAAAACATATAAAACCACGCCAAGACTCTGTAAGAACAAAAATTTATTTGACTATCAAGTTCTGAATTCTATTGTTAGAATGATAACAGAGCAAATTTTACAAATAGAGGAATTTTGGGGTTCCATTTTTTATAAATCACAAAGCTAAATTTTTTTCAGCATTTTCATTGCACAAAATGTTATGAAGCTGAGGATCAAAACAAATTCTAGACATTTCTGTCAGCCACATTATCCGCCACTAATTTTTGCAAAATGAGCACCTAGTGGAAATAAGACTAGCATTTTCTCATAAAGTCGTAACAAAAAAAAAATTACCCAAACATCAATTTCAGGACCAGTATATCGTTTGCCCTCAAAAACTTCAGGAGCCGCATAAGGCGGAGATCCGCAAAACGTATCCAGTGTACCACTATTACTGTAAAAATTGCTGAATCCAAAGTCGGCTATTTTAATATTCAGATTTGCGTCAAGCAGCAAATTCTCTGCCTGAAAATCCAAAACGCTTTCATTATAGAAATCACTGAAAAAAAAAAATTTACGATCAAAATGCATATGCACTCAAACACCGCTCGCATCTGCCTTCCTGCACTGATAACTTTGGCGCACAGCAGTGGCCAGCTTATAAATAGTTTGAATTTAGATAATCAAATTCCTAACTTTTACTGGCTATTAAGTCCTGTCTTTTGCAAGTAACCTTGAGATCTCGATGAACAATTTTTAATTTGTGCAAATAATCAACAGCAGATATAATCTGTATAAACTTCAGTCGCGCAGACTCTTCCGATAAACGTCGTTGTTTTGCTATCAAATCTGAAAAATGTAAAAACTTCGAAGCAGCACTGAATTGTCTCTAGTACTGACAACGTGGGTTTCAATAAATTAGTACGACAAGGCCAGAACGATCACGCATTCTGGCAATTAGTTGTGAAGGGTTCGCGATAGATCGCATTAAGGCATCTCATCCGACAACTGTAAGCCAAAAAATTACGAATTCTTGTCTTGCTTCATTCTGGAGTAATCATATTAGCCTGGATTTCTTTTCCAAATGTATATAGGCTAAGACGTAGCCAGGCGTAAAAATTCAATAGTTTTAGGTCTGATGTTCAACATACATCACTGCGGCAAATTTATGCTGCGGGTTTCTTTTAGTGCGAATCCAGGAGAAGCGGGCAATGAATCCAGGAAAAGCGGGTTGGTACGAAAAGCGAGTTTAGCATGCGAAAGATAATGCTAACAAATTACCAAATATTTCACCATTTGCAGCGTACTCGGTCACCAGATAAAGCATATTTTTTGTTTCCATCACCTATAACTCGAAAGAAAAACAGATTCAAGGTGCTAAATGTTCATTTGTAATTAATAATTGATACCCCTTTGACTGCTCAGCAAAACAATAAAATTTGGCGTGTCAATCGCCTGGCAATTTTTGTATAATCAATCAAATAAGCTCAATTCAGCAATACTCACAGACTGCTATACTTTCTAATCCTTCGTAGATTCCAGACACAAGTTTATCTACAGCCGTTTTAGATAATTTTAAAGATACGCGTGCAAATCAGAAGCCACAATCCACTAATAATATTCGCATGGCTCTGGTTGTTTCTCATTATTTGCAAATTCCGCTTTAACAGGAAGGAATGAGCGGTGTCCTCGTTCACAAACAAATTTTCACTCACTGCCAAACCGGAACGCTTTGCGTTTATTTTTCCGTGGCAGCCTTAAGTACCTAGAAAGGTAATAAGGTGAACAGATTTGGCAGAAACTAGAAAAATAGATCAGAATTTTCTACGCATAGATTTTTAATAAATTAAAACAAATCATGCAATGACCCAAACAAAGATGACCAGCGCTGAAATGTGGCAGAATGAGATGAATTATATAATGCGGCATGCATTTTTTTAAAAAGCATTTCTGTATTTCACTTGGCCAAACATAGAATTTTTTTAAGATAAAATGCGT